ATCACTCACGAAACGCAGAAGTATAACGCTTGTACTTCACGCCGGTGCGCCCATTCGTGCAACAGCGAACCAGGCCCTATCACAGAGCTTTATCTGGAAATTTGCACGCGGTATACTTATCAGCATTTTCCATGTCCATTTTAATTTTTCCTTTAATTAGGAACGTTCTATTCTCGTTTATATAAAATCATTATTTAATGCAAGTTGTTTTTTAACTCGGATGAATACGCATTGTTTACATGACATGTAGGTTATGTTTTATACGTTTTAGTATACTTGGATTGTAAAACATTTATTTGCTGGAAAAATTGGACAATAGATGAAGACACACCATGAGAAGTACCTGTTTCCTTTGATATTAGCTTCGTAATCATTAATTTAGTTTTTCTGTAATATTAATGATATACGATAGTGATTTTTTCTGGGTTGATATAACAAAAGTGAAATAACTACTTTTTAAGGAATGTGTATGTCCTTATATGCAATTTTGAATAGTCTCTTAAACTAGTATTATTATAACAGCTCTGACAATTAAATATTTCTCTGATAATTAAATTATAAGGCAAGTATTTTATTTGTATTTGCCTAAGATTTAACAGGATAACAACTTAACTGTGACATGTGAAAATTGCAACATGAATTGGAGGAAACAACTCTACAGCTTACTTCAAACGGAAGATATCGTTTATTGACTTTTATTACGATCTTTAAAATATGTACCTAATATAGAGTTTTTTAAATGCGCAGTATTTGCGTCTGCATTATGTTTGTATCGTTATAACGTTAGAGAACATTTGTGAACAACATCAACGCTGTACATCCAATTAAACAAACGACATTGAGTAAAGAAACAAGCAAACAATTCCAATATGGCGCCCAGGTAAGTGTAGTGCGGTGGAAAGTTCGCGACAAATTGCTTCGACCGCTAATGACTTGGCCTAACTGCCAGGCTTTAGCTCCCTGCGTAGATCTGGTTAATGTCTGCAGCATCCTCTCTTCGGCGAAAAACGTCTGGCTAATTCTCCGCGGTCGGGTGAATAATACTTTTGGTCGTTAAAACTTAATTCGTTATTGCGTACAGTTCAGTTTCTCCGCACGTTTCTTTAGAAGTTTAAAGATTTAAACGTGAATATGGAAAATAAGACTTTATTTCATTTATGGGTAGACAAATAGAGGATCTATCTTGTATTTAACTTTTTTTATTTAATATTTAATTTGCACGCAGTCGCAGTTTTAAGGATACTGTTGCACAGTCTCACATTTTACTATATCGTGAAATATTTATGGTATGTATGTCTATCATAATATCTAAATAAATTAATGCTACTTTAATGATATTCTACATAGATCTACTTGCCCAAATGAAGTTAACCGCTTGAACAATTTACGCGCTACGCTGGTAACATAAACTAATATACTTGATTGATTTATTTTAGTTTTGTCGCTCGCTTTACATACTATAATATAGGTCATTATTATATAAAAGTTATTATTTGACGTAGCACATATTTAATGTAAAGGAAATAAGCAGGTAAAGTTTTAATTTGCGCGCACATCTTCAGCGCAATTTTTGACTTTTAAATCTCAATATCGTCTAGTCACATTGATATTCGCCAATCAGAAACAGAACTATGTAATCCTTTCGTATCTCATTACACTTATCGCGAAACGTGTACGCGAGTCGTAAACCGAAATCGCCGGGGCGCGTTAAGTTAACGCTATCTGCGCCACCCCGCACTAAAACTACCCCTTTAATAAGTTTCACATCGACCTGACGCGAGCTTACGGCTCCTTTGGCCGCCCCCCCCTCGCAGCCACCCCCACCCCCAAGACATATTTCATCGGCAACTCCTCCTTAACTACCGCCCGCGGCTCCCAACTTTCGTGGTAATATTTCAAACGTAAATAATATACAAGATACGTGAGAACGGAGTGTAACCGGCGTTTCGGTGCCGCGCCATCGCTTGGTAATTTGCTCGTGATATACTGGCCGAAATTGCGTCGGCAAATTCGCCTGATTTACTGTTTTCCCCAAATTGAATAACGCGTAATCTGATACGTAACAGCGCTGACGTCATTGTCGGCCAAAGATCATGCAAGCACAAATAGTCGCGAATCACTCAGAGATATAGACGAGATGTCCCTGCGATATTAGGTGACCACACTACGCTTTTACTGTATCACAGCCACTCTCCCGTTTCCGATGCAACTGGAACCCCATGGTATTATCGAGGGCGGTAATCACTTAAGATCAAGCGGAATGCTAAACATTTTGCCACCTTACCTCATATAAAATGTAAGAACACAAAGTGATATTCGCTGTATTTATGTCTCTCTCTATAGCCAAAATGATTGATGAATGTTATAGTAGGGGATTAGTGATTATTTAAAGTCACTGTTTAGACAGTCAATAAGTAAGTATAATGCTTCTATACTGATGCTTCCATATTGTGATATTTGAATTTATTCACTTATGACTCAAAGTTACCATTTTCAATCACAACACTCTGTGACAAGGTATGAACAAGGACGAACGGTTTCCTATGTTGCTATTATATTATATTTAAAAATTTTAAAACAAGTCTATATATTGTAGTAAATGACAACTCTTCATGCGAAGTTTGCTACCTTTCGTCAACACGACCATCGTGGTTTTTTGTTATTTAGAAAAAAACCAGCCAAGTGGGAGTCGAACTCATTATCCGTATCCGGCAAAAGAATCTTGTCTGTTATATGGGAGCCCCACCTAAATATTTTTTTTATTCTGTTTTTTAGTATTTCTTGTTATAGCGGCAACAGAAATACATCATCTATGAAAATTTCAACTGTCTAACTATCACGGTTCACGACATACAGCCTGGTGACAGACTGATTGAGTGACGGACAGACAGACAGCGGTCTTAGTAATAGGGTCCCGTTTTATCCTATGTGTACGAAACCCTAAAAATGACTCTCGCGAATTTCATGCAGAATATCGAATTTTTAGAAATGACATTGCGGGCTTTTTTACAGAGTATAGTCAATCAACGGTAATATAAGAAAGAAGTTATTGTTTATAAATTTTTGCTGTCTTAGCGTTTTTCATCTTTTAAACGGATAAAATTATATTATTTGTATTGGATTGTTTTGTAATGCCATGTGGTACTATCGCATTGTGTTAGCCTGTTAGGATAATTGTATGTATCTATATCTTATACTATATATAAAAATGGATTGCTGTTTGATATATTCGTGGCAGTTCAGGAAACGTTTAAACGATGACAGATTATGGAAAAATTGCATGGAAAATCGAAATAGCAACAATTTTATTTTCTCATACAAACTGAACCTGTCAAACGATTTTTGAAACACGTTCTGATTTCTATATAAATAATTTATATGGCAAAACAACGTTTGCCGAGTCAGCTAGTATTAAATAAATAAATACATAATGGCTATATTAACCTAATATCAATCTACAATCTTTATTGATCTAATATTTACAAGATTAAATCTATCTAAAATTACATATTATCTAATAAACCTAATCCACGCGGCATGGTGCCTAGAACGCTAGCTGCATTTCCTCGCTGAATAGTTATGCTTAACCTTTGAGCGAGAAAAGAACCAGCTCTCTTGTCACTCATATCAATCTTTAAGAGATATCAACTCAAAACCGGCGTAAAGATGTTTAAAAACATTATGTTCCATTTATCTATTTTAAAACACATTATATAAGACACGAGAATTTTGAAATTCGAACATACAAACTGGTAGGCCCAGATACCGAAATTTCACTCTCATTTACCTTAAATCGTGGCTTAAACTTAACACCCCATTTATAAGCAAGTACAAAATTGAAGGTACCCGTTGACCGCCCAAAATGTTTACGAAGCATTCGCTTAATAAGAGAAACTTCGGGGCGGTTGGGTCGAATTCTCGTAATATCTAGTGTCGGCCGTGTGGCCACACTATCGCATTTAGGGACGCGCACGAAACATTTTATATTTGGCAGGATAGAAAAGAATAAAATATTCTAATAAAACTTATTGACTGCTGCATTCTCTGCTCTGGTGAATCACAATAGTAAGAATTTCGTTAAATACAATGGAGTTTATAAAAAGATTATGGTAGCATGACAGCAATGTATTTTATTCGAAGGTAATGTGTCTTTGAAAAACACTCGGCATGTATAAATTTGTTTTAAAAATTCTCTGTAGAATACTTATTTAACCTATGCTATCATCTATCTTCTACTTCTAGTATATCAAGCACGGAAATTAATGTTTCCTTTTTATTATTTACTTAAAATAAAGACACGACTTAATGCTATAATTCTTTAAACTTCTATAAATTCAGTTTAAAATAAATAATCATAGATATAAATTGCTCAGAAAGGTGCTCCATCACTACCTGTCGATGTGTGCAAGCAGCTTTAGTAAAACTGCGAAGTTGTTGTGCCTGTGTGTGTGTGTGAAGTAAGCGTCGCCATGGCGACGTATCTTAAAGATCCCCCCTTGCCCCGTCTCAGTTTTCTCCTTTCTCCTTCGCGCGCGTTTCTTGTCGGGAGACATGGGTTTGTAGGGTCCGCAGACAATTATGTACATAATAATCTTAAATTAAACGCCTTTTTCGTGGCTGTTCGTTAAAAATGAGTTTCATCTGAAAGTATAATGGCGCCATTTATTTAATTCAACTCTTTTAGCTACGTTTAAGTTAACGACATTTATTTTGAATGCAGAATGTATTAGACTCGTTTTAAATACTTTATATGCTTGAAAATTATTAATTTTAATAAAATTAAAATTAATTTTAATAAAATATATAAAAATATCTTTGTAACAAAAAATGTTTTTTTAACAATTATGGACGATATTTCTAAAAAAATTAATAACTTGCGACAACTTTCTATTATTAATATTCGTTACTAATATGTAAAATAAGAAATCACTCAATTTGCAAAGATTGAGTCGATTTTTATAGACTAATAGGGGTGAACGCTATGACGCGCATTATCATCAGGTGGTGCGATAGACGAGCCGCCATTTTGTGTCGCCGAAGACGCCATCGAAAACTTTCGCGCCAAACGCGCCGGATTTATTTTCGCATCCTACGTCGGCTGTTGAGCGGGGCCCTAATGGAGCGGCGACGCCCCCGCCCGCGCCCAGCGATCCCGCAAGCCATAAAATTGTAAATTAGTGATTAACCGGCTGGCCCGTGCGACGCGTATCGATTTATCGATAGTTTTAGTTGGGGGCGGCAGACCTTGGGATCCGGCGGCCCGTCATCCGCGCGTGTCTTCTACTGCGTCACGTCACGGCTTACAATGTTTCGCGAGCGTAACACTGAATAATCTGATCCAATAACGCCTTCGTGGCAGTACATGATATCAAAACGTAATGACTATATTATTGTAATGTTACATGTTAGTTTTAGTATGTTTAGTTTAGTATTTATATTACATTAACACTGTCCGAATAGGTTCTCCTGTTATAAGCTCAGAAACATAGATAAAGATAATTATTACGACTCGATCAGCGCAATAACTAATATAGACTTACGCACCGCTGATGGTGGTGGGTTAGATTCCCATCGGGACTGGTGTTTGCTATGACCTGCAGGTTTTAATCGGGTTTGATTGGTTTAAATCGGGATGTTTATTATTTCTCAGTTTTGTAAAACGCCTTTACGAAACATAATCTTATCACACAGTAGCTTTACCGCTACTGTGTGACAAAAGTTGAAAAAAAAAAAAAAAACAATATGAATAAGAAAAGATAAGAGACGGAGGGATGTTGTCTTATATAATATTGTGTTATATAATATCGTACGAAATTTTCCCACAGTTTTGTGAGCAGTCGCCGAATGTTTTAATAATGTCATAATGTACAATTAAGTAATAATCAATGAAAGGTATCTTATTCCGAAGAATATCGGTAAAATTCAGTCCACTTTGTTATCTTTCATTGAAACAAATTATAAACAGATAGCGTTATCATAAAAAGATATTACATGACTTTATAAGAAGTCTTTGAACGAATTTTTTTAATGCAAAGCAATAACTTTATTCCGTTTGTCTATTTTTCGTTAATAGCGGCAAACAAAAGCTTTAAAATGGTGTTTGAATCATTTAATTTAATAACAATTGACAATGTTACGGCAAAAAACGCCCTTGACAAAGAGTATGTACAAATACTTACATTGTTACCTTAGTTTTGGACGATCTATTCAAAGTCAAAGCTAAAGTCAAAATTTCTTTATTTAATATAGGCTTATTGTAAGCTATTACTGAACGTCATAAAACTACCGAAAACTTCTGTTATTAGATGTTTCCTCTACAAAGCCATTCGCCGTCGATATTACTATAAAACGTACCGGTTTTCCGACAGGACAGACATTTTACTCATATTAAAGAAAATTTTTTCATTTCATTCATTCAGCTAATAACAGATTCCAAAAAAAAAATAACACCCGTTTTCATTTATTTTCTATTGAAACGTTTCCATAATTGGTGTCGCGTAGCCAATTTCGTAGCCGTCATCGTAGCAAGGGTTTAGTTATTTGAAAATAAAACTTATGTCAATATCAATGAAGATATGATTGAGAATATATGGGACAATGTCTAATAGGATTGTTGAATTTTTCAGAAGCACTTGGAGTTGCATTTTGCATCTTACGGCAAAGGTCTCGTAATCTACGTGTTGCTTTTACGAATTTAAATTACCCAGATTATTTCTTCATACATGTAAGATAAAAAAGACATCGTAGGTGAAATTATTTGATAAAAATTTGTAATATGTCTATTTATATGAACGTTTATATTGCTTTAAAATACAACACATGGTTACGTTTATATACTTAAAGTGACCGTTGCAAATGTTTTTAGAATAATATGGATTTAATTAAAAAAGAAATAATCTAACGCGTTACTTTAAAACCAGATATAACGGTAAAAATTCTACATTCAAAACATTCGACTCATACGACTGGCTGAAAACCATAGAGTATCACCTAGATAAATTAAAAGAAAGCAGTGTGATATTCTGCAACCGCTCCGTTTAATACAGGCATTATTGAAATTACTATTTTGAAAAAAGAACATATTTTATTACTATATATGTTATGGAAACTCACTCACCTTCTACTCTTCGGGCGCGCGTAGAGCACAGCAGGCGCAGAGCTGCCGACTCCTCAGCATCGTCCGGCGAACTAATCTGTCGATTCGGAAAAATCACGTCCATCGCTGACATTAATATTTATAAGTGTCCAGTGTCCGGTCAAGGAGTTATGTAAATCGGCCGCGGTATTGTCCGCGGACCGGTTCTTACGTGGAATTAAGGGTGCTGAATAAGTAACAAGTTTACAACGGCCATTCTCTAAAAGCGATCGGAGACCTTAACGCCGGGGGCTAGAGATCATAATGGGGGAGAATTTCATTTTGTAACGTCAATCCGTTGATTGGGCAAAGGAAAGGTGTGTGCATACAAATAAGCTGGGTACAGCAGCATCCCCTTGTGTCCGTATTCTAAATTTGAACTCTTGGACATTTTGACCCTGGGCCTTTTAATGGCCACGGTAAATGTCGTGGGATAGACACCGAGATGGGATTCTGTGGGAACGTTTGAAAATGTTCGTTACTAATAGTACGGTAAGCAGGTTTGTTACAAATAAATAATCTGTAAATTCTGTGAAATTTCTTATTTTTTAATGTTTATTCGGTTCGCAAATTTCACGAGAAGTTTATTTTATGTACGCAGATGTTTGTGCTTTGTATTTCGTGATCCTTAATCTAAATAAGGAAGCCATTTTGTCTCAATACCTAGGTTGGTTTCATTAAATGAGTCTTGATATACATATGTTACTTGAGAACAAACTGTCGGTCCATTGTTCTTGACAAAAGAACTTAAGGCATTTCTCACAACACACCATTTGCCAGTAAAACTCACAATAGAATGGCAGTTTGTTCATATAATCGTGGGTTTTAACTTTTTATTTGAAAGTCTACATAGGTTTCTAAAATTAAATAAGAGTTACTGCTTATAACTTCTAAATTTTCTGCCAATAACAGTTCCGTTAAAATCGGTCCAGCCAGCTTTGGACATTCGTTAGATTGAATAAATAGACCGACAGACGGACAAACATTTTGAAAATTGGTTATATACGGTATAACTACCGTTTATTTATTCATAGGTATTAAGTAAAAATCTGTTAGATGACACATCATACCTTGACATGACATTGATATACCTGCATAAAAATCCAGATTAATTAAGAAATATACCCATTTAGTAGATCTCGGTTTGTTTCCTAGCTTACAGTTTTCTTCGTAAAAGGTTACAAATGCTATAACACTATAAATACGCGTATAAGAAATTCGCGAAAAGCTGAGGATTTTTACGTTTTAATGTCAGAATTTAGCACCATAACTATTTACATTACCTATTTATTTTAATTTATAAATACCTTGTTGTCTTGTGTTGTTAGTGAGCTTGGATTTAATTTTATAATTAAAATAATCAATCCCAAGCAAAGATCTTCTCTAAAGTAATAGGGATGATTTTTATTTCAAAAGCGTCATTCCTCCTTGCGAGAAATCGGTGTTCTTTTGTGAGGAAAAAGTTTATAGCATCTAATTTAATGACTGGGGCAATCAAAAATGTGATCACGATCTGCATAATTTTGCAACTGTCAGCGGTGGTTCAAATTAGCTACGGTTTTTATTGATAATTTAGTTTGTACACATGGAAATGAGATCTCACTTGCGTCTTAGTCAAACAGTCATCAAGATTATAAATTAAGTAGCTGCTGCCCGCGACTACGTCTTCGTTGAATAGGCTGAAGGCGTAACATTCAGATAGAAAGACAGAAATACATAAAATATGTATATAAATTATAGCCTATGGCTTATTCTGATGTATAAGCTATATTATTGTAAAGTTTCATTAGAATCCATTCAGTAGTATTTACATACAAACTTTCACGTTTATAATATTAGTAAGGAAGTAAGGATAATTTAACGCAATAAAACTGCTTTGTCTTCTATATATATATTTCCTATCTACGTGTGGACGCTAGTGGACTCCTCCTAAACGGCTGGACTGATTTTAATGAAATTTTTGTGTCTTCAGGTCGACTCAAGAATGGTATAGATTCACAATTCGGTCCAATACATTTTTTTTTAAATTTCTTTTTTATATATTGTTATCGGATTTAAGACTTTATTTTGTTGTGTGTACAGGACAACATCTGTCGGGTCCGCTAGTGATTATTCAAAACCGCCCGTGATATGGTATAATATCCTAAAGTGTGTGAGATTTCTTTTTTATTAAAAAAAAACAAAACATCTGTATCCTCGAATGGGCGGAAATTTATAAGAATTTGAAAATGTTGAAAAACTTTCGACTTTAAAAATTGTTGATATGTTTATTTCGGGTGTGGTTTATATCTTTTCAATTGGCATTTATTGTTGCAGTCACTTGTTTATGTAGTGTTAGGAATTTAATTTGAAATCTTGGTAATCCTCAACGATTGTCGTAAACGGATTTGTATAAAAGGTCTCATCCGAATAAGACCCCCTTTAATCAAGCTGGACGTACTCGTAATTCGGAGCACTAAAGAGCTGGTTAATCAATCAGTAATAAGAAAGAGATGGATAGAAGCGGCGGACCGCGATGAGGGAATGGGACGGTGATATTAGTAGCCAAGGATCTCGAGTGAACTTCTAGCGAATCCTTTTGAGGACACTAAAATGTGCTGAATTAATGAAACGTTGTGGAGCGAACGTGGCTTAGAAGCGAATGATTTGGCGTTAATACTACTTGCAAAGAGATCATATTATTTATTTATACAATGCTATAAAATAATGCCGATAGGAATTCATCGACGTTGAGAAAGAAAAAAAAATGTTTTAAACTCGGCTAAAAAGAGACGAAATACAAATAAAATTCTTCTAGCTAAAGATGTAAGAGCTATCAAAGATCAATAATGGTGAAACCTATGCTTAAAATGATACTTTTAAAATATGTACAAATCTACCTTTTCTCGTACAAATCTAGGTGTTGCTTTGATCCTCGAATCAGTTCGGCGTCCAAAACTGCATCTAATTTTACTTTGTATGTAACTTGGGTATGTAATAATGTAACTTGATTTTACCCTATTAAGTACACTGTCGTGACAATTGTCGTGAGAGTTTCACCTCATGTTAATCGTGGCCCATTGACATTTGCAACATCAGATTATTTACAACTTAATTTGTCTTATCGTACTAAATTGACCGAAAATATTACGTGCAACTATTGAGAAAACAAAGTCGTGGCTTGAGTTTAGATGCTAAGATTATTTTATTACGTAATTAAAGCGAAGTAACCGCCTATATATGTCCCACAGTTGGGCAAGTAACTCCGTTGTAGTGAGGGTATTAGGGCATAGTCCGAGTAACTTCGAAATATTTTTCTGTTGTTATTATTTCAAAAACAAGCAGATCTCCTCAAGATGTTTTCCTCACCACAAAGTTAGAATTATAATTAATAAACAATTCTCGTACATGTAGCTAAAAGCGTTCGCGTTATGAGATCGTCTGCTTGCATACTGCGTGTAAAATGTTGACTAACAGCGCCCCTCGACCCACCCACCTCTGTTCCCATTCATTTCCTGTTCCAAATCGTCTCCCATCTAACTTTATGTGCAATTTATAACTACGTAATACCTTTCCAGGAGCGTCTGTGGCGATGCTCTTCTTTGAACTATTTCTAGGAACCACAGCGCGGTACGGGCTCGTAGTCACAGCATGTTCGAGTATACAATATACACTCTGTTTCTGTGAAATGTTTTCTTTCTAGTCTAATTGAAGGTGAAAAGAAATCAAATGTAAAAATATAACTGTGTAGGGCCACGCAACAGTGTTCACTGTTGCACTAATGTGCCGGTCCGTCAGGGTAAGTACCACGACCTCACAGAAGACAAGCGTAAAATTTTCCACTTTACACTGCGTTTCGTTTGGAGAATGAGGTAGCCGGGGCCCGCTTAATTTAAAGGTGGCAACGCATTTGCAACCCTACAGGTGGGCAGCGGTTATCACTTAACATCAGGTGAACGGCAAGTTCGTTTGCCGTCTTCTCACATAAAACACAAAAAATTCAATCGTAACCGTTCAACACTTAGCAACCGAGGAAAATGGATTGACATTTTAATGGATTTTGTTAATAACTTGCGGTATCTATCATTATTTATAACAAAAAATGAAGTACTGAATGCCGACTCATTAAGGACCAAACATGATATTACTGCAGCCAGAACTCATTATCCTTATCTAATGTTCATTTTATTGCGAAAGTCAACGGCGAACGTTTTACACAAGTTACGTTATTGCACCATCCGCCATGGTTCCATCAAGTCTGTTTACAAGAGGGCCCGAGGCGTCAATTGAAACACGTGCTCGGGTGCTCTAAAGCGAACTGTAGCTGTTCCGAGATACAATGTAATCACAATAACAATACTTTACCATCACGACCGGCAAATTACTTCTTGGATTTTCAAGTAACAAGCGGCAAGCGATTCGCTTCTTCTACAGCCCACTGTGCTGCAGCTCGTAACTACATCCTCGAGTTGTGACGTAACTGTGTCGGTACTGTCTGAGAAAAAGTTAATTTCGTAAATTGCAGCCAACGTTAGTATATGCAGCATTGACCGAACTTGTGCGTTCTACTTTCCATTCAGTTTATTTTTAATTTCACCAAATCAAATTAAAATATTGTCATCCAAGACAATTATTGATTAATTGGCATTAATTTATTCTTATCTTAAAAAGTGATTGGTTATAATAAACTAATGTCTTGTATACATGATTATAAAAATATTCCCGAACTAATAATGCAAAAACTCAAATATCAACACATGGTTAAAACAGCGACGCGCTGCGGTAACAAAGACGTTATCGCTATTGATATGAATGAACTAATACGCCTTTGCAATCACAGGCGTGCTAAATTAATTAATATACCGTATAAGGTCGAATGCATGTTTGTAACAAGTACTGTAGTGACTAGTAGATCTTATATAAATATACAATTTATATAAGATCTAATTAGTTTTTCAGATGGTGGGTACGCATGGGAAACAACACTCGTGAATGGATTGCGTTATGGCATGTCATATGACATCAGTTTTATTTCGCCTCTATACCAAAAACTGTCTTGACTCCATCGAAAACGAAAATATTATCTAATAAAAACATTGTAAACAT